ACTTCTTACTATTTCACGTAAATAGTACTGTATTTATGAACAGTAATCGTATTCTTGAATAGTACCATACTTATGAATAGTACCGTATTTGTGAACAGTACCATACTCGTGAATAGTACCCGTCACCTCCAAAGGGTAAGTGATAACCTAACTTATTTTCTGATGTGGATGATCCACCTTTGGTGGCAGCCACAGAGCATACGATAAGTAGATATATACAAGTACCCTAAGTTGGCTCTGATACTACTTGTTGGGACAAACCCGGGGCCCAATAGAGCAGGGTCGCAGCAATAGTAAAGCAAAAGTAGAGATAAAATGATAGACACACAGATTTACGTGGTTCGGCACTTGATTGCCTACGTCCATGGGCAAGGATAGAAGAATCTACCATGAGGAGAAAACTCTGGAGTTACAATCTCTCTTTCTAAGGAGATACTCTCTATTTTTTCTCTCACACTCTTCTATATAAGAAGAAGTTTCTGGGATGAGATTTCCTTAAGGATTTGGAGCCTATTTATAGTTTTTAGAAAAACACTATGCACAATAAAATATTAATATTTTACTGTAGCAGTAGGCCCCACCATTTTGTTTTCTTTTTCCTTTTCAACATTGGCTGCTGGATGTGAAGGGTTTTTTCGGTGCTTGGCTTCATTAGGCGCCTGACATAAACACGGGGTCTTCGACTCAATTTGTAGTTTTGCTTTCTGATGATTTTTGCAGAACTATGAATGAATCTTTGAAATCTAGAATGGATGCTTAGTTAATACTTTGAGAAATTTCCACCGTGATGATTTTTTCCCCCTAAATGGCGCCTTGTACATGATGTTTTGGTTTCTGCTTCATTCTTGAATACAGAACCACCTTATGTGCAGCATGATAAAACCCTTACTTCAATTGAGTCTAATAAAACTTTCCTGCTAGTTTACTGAGTCAAGTATAAAAATTATCTATTAGCTCCAGACTGTCAAACCATGTAACTAGTTCATGTTAAACATTTTTAAACACCAAAAGATTTTTAAACTGGTAGCACAGTCCTTTTATGCTCAGACGTATAAAACTAAGGGCCAGTTTGGCAAACTCCTCAAAACTAGCTCAAGATTGATCTGGCCCAGTTTTGAGATAAAATGGTTTTGTTTTTGATCCAGGGGACGGTGTACCAAACAGATAAAGGGCTTTTCTTTTTGTTTTAAAAACTGGGACAAAATTGGCACAATTTTTCCCTAAAACACAATCTATCGGACACCTAAAAAGCATGTATATTTGCTTGGACAAAGACAATGTCAACATGGATACAACATAACACAGAACACTAGATCCCAAAATAGCACATATGATTAGGCAATTGTGTGGCATGTAGCATTAGTGATAATGTGATATACCTAAGAAAATAGAACAAATGTGTGACAAGTACCAGAAGCAAACGTGGCTTCATGGTTGAAGGGACAATGCTGGAAGGATGCTGGGATGACTCATGAAAATATAGATGAATCAAATATCTTCTAAAAAAAAGTGCTTTGCGAATTTCCTCTAGTTTCTAGCCCAGGCTATGTATCAATCAGGAACGTTAGCACTCTCAATTCAAAAAACAAGAGAGCGTACACGGCGAAAAACTCCAAAGAAGATGAATATTCATCACAATAATGACCCAAATAACGCGTTCAGACTAAAATCATATTCAGAAATAGAACACTGGAAGACTAACACTAAAACGCAACATAATATACCCTGACTTTAACAAAACATGAAAGTTTTCATTATAACTTACCGAGACTGAAATTTTTTAGACCATCAACTCTATGAAACCATTAGTGGTTAAGTATTCCTCTCCATCAAATAAACCTTTCAAATAATAGCACATTATACATTCCCTCTGGCCTATCACATAAAACTCTAATAAAATAATATTATAATTATCTCAGAAGCGTATAGTCATAAACATGAATACAACACAATACACCTCCGACATGGCAAGACAAGCTCACATGCCAATCATAAAATAGTGCATATGAATCAACATTAACAGCATGTGCAGTTGGTATGGTAATGGTTGCAGTCATATAATCCTTCATGCTACACAAAAAAAAAACCACTCTTGCAAAATACATGGGAATCAATTACAATTTTGTTGATTGCATCCAACTACACAAATGTGTGTGTACATAAAGACATGAATATAAAATAGAAGGGTTATTTCAGAATTAGTCCCACAAATCTTTCATATTCTGATATTAGTCCCCAAAACATTGCAATTGCAGTTGATATGGAAACGGTTCCAATGATATAATCATTTATGATACATCGATATTAGTCCCTCAAATCTTTCATATTCTGATATTAGTCCCCAAATCATCGAAGTTGCCGTTGATATGGTAATGGTTGCAATGATATAAACATCCACTTGTTAGATCTAAATCAAAACTTGAGATCTAAAAAACCATATAGCCATGATTAATTCGAAGAGATTAACAATAATCAAAAGAGTGCGGAAGATTATACCTGAATCCATAGAAGAAAACTTGATTTGGGTTTTTGATGATCTTCTAACCTTAGGGTTCCTCTAAATCCGAATTTCTCTTACTAGATGGGGATGTAGAGAATTAGAGAATGTAACCCTAGGTTAGGGACCATAACCCCTTATTTATAGATGGGGATGTAGAGAATTAGAGAATGTAACCCTAGGTTAGGGACCATAACCCCTTATTTATAGATGTTGTATATTTATAATTTGGCCCCTCAACAAATTACAATTACAACCTGGTATCTGCACATATAACCCCATGACTTATTTAAATACCGAATTAACCTAAATTAATTGATCACTTTAGTGGGATATCCTGAAAGATAGCAATACACATTGATTAATCATATGTGCCCACAATTAGATTTATTAGATTAAATCCAACAATCTCCCACTTGGGCACCATATGATTCCTTAAATTGTGTATAACCTTATGAGCTCAAAAATTGCTATCACTGAAAAGGTATTTCCGAACAATCTCGTCCATTGACTATATCAATATAGGATCAAAGCGGCCTTCGTCACATTTATCGTGACTCGACCCATCAATGGTCACATATACCAATACAATCAAACGACATAGATCAATCATGGATGTGCAGCATGAAAATTACATGCAATGTGATCAGTACATGTCTATTTTCAACTGGTCCTCCTTAGTGAGGTCAAAACCAAACATAATGTAACAGAGTGTCTTAACTGAAAACTTTATTCTGATCAGACAATACAAACAAACATAAAGCACCACAAATACAAACTCCCACTAAAACATAATATCCTCAAATAATACCACACCCATATGAGCAGTATGCTCATGAAAGACCTTAGGTGGCAGTCCCTTAGTAAGAGGATCAGCTATCATGGAGTTTGTCCCAATGTGCTCTATGGATATCTGTCCACTCTGTACCCTTTCTTTCACAACCAGGAACTTAATGTCAATATGTTTTGACTTAGTTGAGCTCCTGTTGTTATTGGAATACATTACTGCAGATTTATTGTCACAATATAACCTTAGTGGTCTTTCAATATTTTCCAAAATGCGCAGTCCCGTGACAAAATTTCGCAGCCATATTCCCTGATTGGATGCCTCATAGCAAGCTACAAATTCTGCTGCCATAGTGGAGGAAGCTACTAGTGTTTGTTTAATACTTTTCCATGATATAGCTCCTCCTGCTAACATATAAATGTAGCCTGATGTAGACTTTATGCTATCTTGGCATCCAGCAAAATCAGAATCCGAATACCCAATGACCTCTAATTTTTCTGATTTTCTGTATGTGAGCATGTAATCTTTTGTTTTCTGAAGATACCTCATAACCCTTTTGACTGCTATCCAATGATCCATACCAGGGTTGCTTAAGTATCTGCCTAACATCCCAACATTGTACGCAATATCCGGACGCGTACATACCTGAGCATACATTAGACTTTCTACAGCCGAAGTATAAGGAATTTTCTGTATTTCCTGAATTTCAAGGTTACCTTTAGGGCACTGATTGAGACTAAACTTGTCTCCTTTAGCAACAGGGGTGTCACCTGGTCTGCAATCTTGCATGCCAAACACTACAACAGAAAAGCTAATCCGCGAGGAACAAGTTTGTCATTGAAAGTCGAGATTTCCTCGCCGTAGTGTGTTCGCGAGGAAAAAACTTTGGTCACCATTTCCTCGCAGTAGGGTGGTCAAGAAAAGTTTCTGCGAGGAATATTATAATTTCTCATGAAATCCTTTTTGCGATGAATATATTCTTTTCTCGTTGTTACTCTTTAGCCTCGATATTTTTCCTCACCTAATCTCATGCCTTTTTCATCGCTAAACTACAGTTTCCTCGCCAATGATATGTGAATAATATTTAATTTATATATAATAAAAGTAATTAAAAAATTATTTTCGTCGTTGTAAGTACCTTTCAACGAGGAAATTGTTCCTCACCAAAGGTAAATCATTAACGAGGAAATTGATTTTGTTCATTATATGTATCTTTTTCTCGTGGAAACAGTTTCTCAGTAAAGGGACTCAAAGACGAGGAAATTTAAATTTGTCGTTGTAGGTTGTACCTCATATTCCTCGCCAAAGAAATTCAATTACGAGGAAATTTACATTTGTCGATATAGGTTATATGGTCTATAGCGAGGAAAATTACTTTTGTCGTTATAGGTTGTATCACTATAGCGAGGAAATATGTTTTGGTCGACGTAAGCAGTATACTCTATAACGAGGAAATATTCTTTTGACGACATAAGTATGTGGCCTATTGCGAGGAAACATATTTTCGTCACCTTAAGTTGTAGGGTCTATTTTGAGGAAATTTACTTTCATCGAGCTAAATTTATAGCGAGAAAACTTATAATGAGGAATTTCATCAATAATAATGCTATTGCGAGAAAAACACAAAATATAAATAATTATCATCAATTGTCACCACAGTACATCAAAACAATTAAAATAAATAAAACAAGAAAGGTACTACCATAAGTAACAATACTAGTCTAAAGCAATAACAAATGCAACACGATCAAAGAAACATTTAGCTGATGGATGTTGCCCGGAAAAATTAGCCATAAACTCCTTAAACTTTTTGGCTTGCTCCTCCAATCTTTGGATTACCTCATTTTGCGCATCGATCTTTTGTTGTTGAGTTCCTACAAGTTGTTGGGTCTCTTGAAGCTGTTCTTGCAACTCTTTATTCTTTTCAGACATTTCACTCATTGAAGAACGAGAGAACCTTAATGGTGGTGGTCTAGGGCCAAAACCACAGCCCTTAATGTAGCCTGATTTGACTTTGAGAACTTTTGCACAAATTTCCTCATCTGTCATTGTTCGAGTTCCATCAGGTTGAGTGGTATCTGCTCGTATCTTTATCATTTGATCCTATAAGTAAAAAATATATCCAGTTCAATCATATGCAACTTCTCAATTACAACCTATATATCCAGTTCAATCATATGCAACTTCTTAATTACAACCTAATCAATATAATCCTCTTTAGAACAGTAATATCAGTTTCACCTATATTTTTAAAATATTATAAAAGCATGCATCATTGACACGTTACTTACCCATTTTTCCTTTGCTCCCAAGTCCCATCCTTTTTTTGTACTTCTATACTCTGTTTCAAAACGATCAATTGCACCTTGCATCTCTCCGGTCTGTGTTGCCTATTGCATTCAAACATGTTTTCATTTTTAGCATATATATATGTACACAATTAAGTTACAAATTTATAAGCAAAACTAAAAAGTGTCTTACAATTTGCTCTTGGTGTGACATAAATGATTTTGACCCAGCTTTGTGATGATATGTCAACTTTGACCTATTAAGAACATTCTTCTCTGAGCGAATCTAAAATTATTAAGACATACAATTAGAAAGAAGTAAATGAAAAAAGAAAAAATGTAATGCGTGGAGAAAAATAAAAAAGATATTGTACCTTAAACTTTTCACTAGAAAAATGAGTGCAAAGAAACTCCCATTCTTCCTGAGTCTTGACAGCTTCATGTTTGTTTTGAATTGCCTCCTCAATTGTTGAAAACTGCTCAAAATGTTTCTTCAACTTATAGCGAAAATTACAATATACGGTCTGACATGTTGTAATTACATATCTCTGGACCCAAGGGAGCGACATATCAAATTCAAATTTATTCTGCACAGGCATAATTTCATGTCAAACTAAATATAACAAATCAAAGCAACCAATATAATGCCTTTAGCAAAACAAATCATCACTAACCTGCATTCTTTTGATCAAGTTCTCCACATCTGCTTTTTCAATCTTTTTCCATTTTTCCACATTCAGTGGGGCGTAGTTTCGAATTGTGTAACCAATTTCATTTGCAAACATCTCAGCATAAGGGCCAGTAGGTCTACCATTTTCTTCGGTCAGAGTCACAGGTATTTTAGAATTCAATTGGGAGAACACCTTATCTGCATTCACTCCTCTTGTCTTCCCTCGCACCTTTTTGGTTGTACCTTTGACATAATTTTTATTAAGAACATAACACATACGTATATTTAATTCTCAAAATATTTGTATATAATGTTTTGTATACCTGAAGGAGGCTCCTGATTAATATCTGACATCACATTATCATCTCGCTCTTCAACTATGGTGTTTACCACTGGCTGATCATTAACACTTTGTTGCTGAAGACGTGCACTAACTCTAATCCCTGTCATTCGAGTTTGTAGTTTAGGTATACCCTTGTAATTTGCAATTGATAAAAATGAAATTCAATTCAGCTTCTCTACACCTTTTAGAGGAAAATAATTCAATTCAGCTCAATTCAACTGAATTCAGCTCAATTCAACTGAATTCAGCTCAATTCAACTGAATTCAGCTCAATTCAACTGAATTCAGCTCAATTCAACTGAATTCAGCTCAATTCAACTGAATTCAGCTCAATTCAACTGAATTCAGCTCAATTCAACTGAATTCAGCTCAATTCAACTGAATTCAGCTCAATTCAACACCACTTACCAGTAGTAGTTCGTTCTGTGGTGACAACAGTACTACTAGAATTCAGTCCATCTGCTACAGAATTTTGGCATTCTTGATTGGAAGTTTGCAGACGAGTACGTTTTGTACCTATTAGCATACACACTTGTTAGATAAGTAAAAACTAACAGTACTTAAATATTCTAACAGTAAAATAAAGATTGCATATTTACTCGGATTAGAACCGGATCCATTCCCTGTAGAATTCACGTATGGCAGATAACTAGTTGCTGCATGAGAACGTTTCTTTTTCAATAATTCTGCATGTGATTGATTACTTGGTGCATTACCTGTTGTTACATAAACGTTAAATTGATAATAATATTCTAATCAACCAAGTGAATGAATCATGAATTATAAGAGAAATATGCACTACTTACCAGAAGTAGAACTCTGAACGGTAGGCGTTTTGTTACGGTACATCTTCTTACTGTTTATTATCAAACAATTAGAATGGTCAAAATGCAAAAGAATGTAACATTCATCTATTTGAATCATTACCATGTTTATATGAGTCTCAAAGAAATTTTTTCTGCTATTCTTGCTAAAAATTAAATGGTAGTTGGAAAGGAACTGTCACTCACTGAGAAACAAACCGGTGGTCTTATGATAATTAACTGTTCCAATTTTTGGCTGAATCCTCGCCTCACAACGTCAGCATATTCTCAAGTCTTGGGCCCATCTTCACTAATTCAGTGGGTGGTCAACACAAAAATCTCATCATCACCTGTTATATATTGACCTCCATCAATATCTCAATCCAGAGAATGGACGAACTTTCTGAGAGAAAATCGATAAACCATCTACTACTTGGTCATCTTCTACATCGACATTTCGTTCTGCCCGATTGATACGGGTTTCAATCTCACGAAAATACATAGAACAAAATGTCACTGCTTCATTGACAATATATGCTTCTGCAATAGAACCTTCAGGTCGAGCTTTATTTGTAACATACTTTTTATATGTTCCTAAATTTCTCTCAATAGGATACATCCACCGATAGGTAACTGGACCACCAAGCAAAGCTTCACGAGGTAAATGGACTGCCAAGTGAACCATTACATCAAAAAAAGCCGGTGGAAAAATTCTCTCTAATTTGCACAATATTATAACAATCTCCTTCTCCATTCTTTCCAAGTCTGACACCTTTAAAGTTTTTGCACATATCTGTTGGAAAAAAATGGCCAGCTCAACAATTGCAGTGCACACATCCTTGTCCAAATATGAACGAATACCAACTGGGAGGAGGCGTTGAAGTAAAACATGGCAATCATGACTTTTTAAATTATGTATCTTCCCATCGACAATGTTCACATTTTTGCAAATATTGGCAGCATACCCATCAGGAAATTTGACAACTTTGAGGAACTTACAAAACAGCCTACGGTATTCCAATTTCAAAACATATCTAGCATGAGGCTTCTTCAATTTATTCCCTTGACGTGTGAGATGCAATTCTTTTCTTATCTTCCTATCTGCCAAGTCCAAACGAGCCTTGTTGGTGTCTTTTGTTTTCCCATCTATATTCAACAAAGTACTAATGACACTATCACATATATTTTTTCAACATGCATCACATCAATATTATGTCTCAACCTGAGCTTGGACCAATACTCTAACTCAAAAAGAATACTCTTTCTAGTCCAGTTTAGCTCATGAGGCTCACGGTGTCGCTTTAAATCAGGATTGTCAGGATGTTTTCCAGGCCTAGCTTTATAAACACGATCTAATTGCCGCAATATGTCATCCCCAGAAAATAATCTGGGAGGAGGACGATCTTCAACTAAACCGTTAAAATATTTACTCCTTCTCCACTCAAGATCCTCAGGCAAATTTCGTCGAGCTCCCATAAAACATAATTTTCCTCTCAACCCCTCTGAAGTTACATCTTCGTTACAAACAGGACAAGCTTTGTACCCTTTTGTGCTCCACCCAGATAAATTTCCGTAAGCAGGAAAATCATTTATAGTCCACAATACACATGCCCGCAAATTAAAATTTCTCCCAACAGAGGCATCAAAAGTTTCAACTCCAATATCCCACAATTCTTTTAATTCGTCTATTAATGGACGAAGATACACATCAATGTCTTTCCCAGGTGCTCGAGGACCAGGTATGAGTAATGACATCATTGAATACACTCCTTTCATGCATTTCCAAGGAGGCAAATTGTACGGCACTAGCATAACTGGCCACATACTATAACTAGTGCTCATGTTTCCAAATGGATTAAAACCATCTGTAGCAAGCCCCAACCTCACATTTCGACAATCTGCAGCAAAATCAGGATACTCTTGATCAAAGTGTTTCCACTCGGCAGAATCAGCTGGATGTCGTAGGAAACCCTCTTCATTTTGTCTTCTTCTTTTATGCCATTTCATTTTAGTCATTGTATGTCTCGACATATACAACCTCCAAAATCTTGGCTTCAATGGAAAATAACGCAAGACTTTTTGTGGAACTTTCTTACGTTTGCCATCACAAGACTTGTATCTCGGCTCCTTGCACACTGGACATTCATCCAGTTTCTTATTCTCTTTCCCATAAAACAGTGCACAGTCATACTTGCATGCGTGTATGGATTCATACCCCAAGCCCAATTCTAGCAACATGTTTTTAGCTTCATAGTTCGATGTTGGTATGGATGCACCTTTTGGATACGAGTCATTTAACAATTTCAGT